TGTAACATCTTGTCAATATTTAATATGATAATTAGATATGAAGATCATATCTTACAGTGCTAACCACAGCAGCTAGATGTGTAAGTTTCATTTTGTATCCATACATATGCATCCCCATTGTTAATACTTAATTTGCAAGAAATTTGAGGTTTTTTAAAAGTGTATAATTAAATACAAGCATGGTTTCATTTTTAATTTGTATATATTATTCAAGTTCTTTTTTGGGAAAAGCAGCAAAGACTTATATAATGAATCAATTTACATCATACTGATGAGGCATACATTTGTCATGTTTGTGTATATTTAATCCGAAAGATTTATTGATATTTGTATAAACATTTTCCTTCTTGTACGACTGCAAAATGTATGAGGCTGTATAATGGTATGGCAATGTTGTTGTTGTCATCAGCATTGTGGTCGTCTGAAGACATTTGGTTTCCAGACAATAACTTGAATATCAGTGTATGGATCTCTATGAAATTGTACCACAAGGTTCCATACCACAAAAGGAAGGTTGGGATTTATTTTTGGGTTTATTGTCCTAACTGTTTAGGAATAACATGTACATGATGTAGGAACCAAAAACAAGCATTTATCTTGTTTCAGGACAATAACTTGAATAATTGTATGGATCTCTATGAAATTGTACCACAAGGTTCCACACCTGAAAAGGAAGGTTGGGATTGATTTTAGGGTTTATGGCCCAAACCATTTAGGAGTTCAGGGCCAACAAGGGGCAAAAAAAAAAGGATTCTCTGGTTTCTAGACAATAACTTGAAAATACATTGCTATTGTAAGTCTATTGATCTATTTGAAATATTAATTGTACTACAAGGTTCCATACCAAAAAAGGAAGGTTGGGATTGATTTTGGTGGTTATGGCCCTAATTATTTAGGAAAAAGGGGCCAAATACAATACTTTCTAATAATTTGTAAAACTTTGTTTCATTTCACCAAAACTTTAATTATTGGGGTTCTTTGATATGCTGAATCTAACTGTGTATTTAGATTTTAGTATTGGGTTCCTTTTTAGCTCACCTGGCCCAAAGGGCCAAGTGAGCTTTTCTCATCACTTGGCGTCCCTGTCGTCGTCGTTAACTTTTTACATTTTGAACTTCTTCTAGAGAACCACTGAATGGAATGAAACCAAACATGGCATGAATGTGCCCTATGAGATGCTGACCAAGTGTTGTTACTTTGAAGCTGATCCATAATCCAAGATGGCCCCAGCGGGGGACTTAGTTTAACATAGGACCCTATGGGAAATACATACAAATGTCTTCTTTTAGAGAACCACTGAATGGAATGAAACCAAACATGGCATGAATGTTCCTTATGAGGTGCTGACCAAGTGTTGTTACTTTGAAGCCGATCCATCATCCAAGATGGCCACCAGCGTGGGACTTAGTTTAACATAGGACCCTATAGGCAATCCATACAAATGTCTTCTTTTAGAGAACCACTGAATGGAATGAAACCAAACATGGCATGAATGTTCCTTATGAGGTGCTGACCAAGTATTGTTACTTTGAAGCTGATCCATAATCCAAGATGGCCTCCAGTGGAGGACTTAGTTTAACATAGGACCCTATGGGAAATATTTACAAATATCTTCTTTTAGAGAACCACTGAATGGAATGAAACCAAACATGGCATGAATGTTCCTTATGAGGTGCTGACCAAGTGTTGTTACTTTGAAGCTGATCCATAATCCAAGATGGCCGCTAGTGGAGGACTTAGTTTAACATAGGACCCTATGGGAAATACATACAAATGTCTTCTTTTAGAGAACTACTGAAAGGAATAAAACCAAACATGGCATGAATGTTCCTTAAGAGGTACTGAACAAGTGTTGTTACTTTGAAGCCGATCCATAATCCAAGATGGCCACCAGCTGGGGACTTAGTTTAACATCTATAGGCCCCTTAGGGAAATACATACAAATGTCTTCTTTTAGAGAACCACTGAATGGAATGAAACCAAACATAGCATGAATGTTCCTTATGAAGTGCTGACCAAGTTTTGTTACTTTGAAGCCTATCCATCATCCAAGATGGCCGCCAGCTGGGGACTTAGTTTAACAAAGGACCCTATGGACAATACATACAAATGTCTTCTTTTAGAGAACCACGTACTGAATATATTGAAACCAAACATGGCATGAATGTTCCTTATGATGTGCCGACTAAGTGTTGTTACTCTGAAGCTGATCCTTTAACCACAATGGCCGCCAGCGGGGGGACTTCCTTTAACATAAGACCCTATAGGAAATACATACAAATGCTTCTTCTAGAGGTGCACTAAATGGAATGAAACCAAACATAGCATAAATGTTTCTTATGAGGTGCTGATTTTTTATTAAATTACAGGACCAATATTAAACCAAATTTGGCCTCACTCATTATTAGGGTATCTGATAAGATTTTAATCTATTTTTACATGATTTCCAAAACCAAAGTAGAATCAGGTGAGCGACACAGGCTCTTGAGAGCCTCTAGTTTTAATTGATCTACATTAAGGTCCAAAGGGTCCAAAATTTAACTTTGTTTGGATTTCAACAAAAATTGAATTCTTGGGGTTCTTTGATATGCTAAATCTAACCTTGTCTTTAGATTTTTGATTTTGGACCCGGTTTTCAAGTTGGTCCACAGTAGGTCCAAAGGGTCCAAAATTAAACTTTTGTTTTGATTTCAACAAATTTGGAATTCATGGGGTTCTTTGATCTGCTGAATCTAACCTTGTATTAAGATTTTTGATTTTGGACCCAGTTTTTAAATTGATTCACATTAACATGATTAAGGGCCAATGGGTTTTAAATTAAATTTTGTTTTGTTTTAACAAAAATTGATTTCTTGGGGTTCTTTGATATGCTGAATCTAAACATGTATTTAGATTTTTTATTTTTGAGCCCATTTTCAAGTTGGTCCAAATTGGGGTCCAAAATTATCTTTTTTTCAACAAAAATTATATATATATATGTATATATATATATTGGGTTCTTTAATATGCTGAATCTATCCGTGTATTTAGATTTTGGATTTTAGGCCCTTTTATCAAATTGGTCCACATTGATGTCCAAAGGGTCCAAGTTTAAACTTTTTTTGATTTCACGAAAAATTGATTTTTGAGTTTCTTTCATATGCTGAATCTAACAATGTATTACTATTAAGATTTTGGATATTAAACCATAATAGCTATATCTATGTAATTGTCCAATTTCAAATTTTTTAAGTTCTTAGACCACATTTATTCTGTTTTTTTTTTGTCTTTTTTTTTTGTCTTTTTTTTTTTTTAATTTTCTGATCTATATATTTCATGTACACCAAATCTCTATGATAGAGGAAATAAAATTATATATATGCTGTGTCAAATTAATCACAATCCAAATTCAGAGCTGTATCAAACTTGAATGTTGTGTCCATACATGTACTTACCCCATCTTTTCAGGGTTCTAGCTCTGCTGTTGTATCAAGCAGTGCCTTGCCATTTTATTTACCGGTAAGCTCACCTGGCCCCAAGAGTCAAGTGGCTATTCTAATCACTAGGGACTGCCATCCGTTAAATTTTACAAAAATCTTCTTAACTGATACTGCTGGGCCTATTTGAACCAGACTTGGCCGAAATAATTATCATGATTATTTGAGTATCTAGTTAAAAAAATGTTAGAAAAGGTAACAGACATGCCAGCTCCAGACCTCAGTTAAACTGATTGAAAGATTATGTCTTCATCATATGATAATCAAGCACAATCCCTCCCGTTAAGGGTTTAGTATCATACCATCATAAAATATACAATATAAGAACATAACCCGTATTATGCCAACAACTGGTTTTAGAATAAATGTGTTTATTTCCGATGCAAAGACCCTAAATGAGTGAATCAATTAGCAGTTTTCTTTGAATTTGAATTTTCTTTGAATTGATTAGCAATTTTCAAAGTTATCTGCTTAAGTTACTTTGAAAGGATCTACTTGTGATAGATCAATGATATTTTGTATGAAGTTACATTACTATCAGTTTGACGACTATTTTTTGAGGCCCTGCCCCCTAGGTCATGGTCCAGTGACTTTAAATTGATGAGCAATTTTTAATGTTGAGATTTCTGCTTAAGTCTGAGGGAGTTTGATAGGAACAACTTGTGATAGATCAATGATATTTTGTATGAAGTTGCATTATTATCAGTACATATCAGTTTGAGGACTATTTTGAGGCCCTGTCTCATAGGTCATGGTCCAGTGAATTTGAATTGATAAGCATTTTCCATGTTAAGTTTTCTGCTTAAGTCAGTCTGATAAGAACTACATGTGATAGATCAATGATATTTTGTATAAAGTTGCCTTACTAACAGTACATATCAGTTTCTTGACTATTTTAAAGCCCTGCCCCCTAGGAAATAGTCCAGTGACTTTGAATTAATTAACAATGTTGCTGTTCATCAGATTGTCTTATTCTGAATTTTATGCCAACAGGCGAGACATATCTTTGTGTCAACAGTTTATTTTGTTCATTGGCTACTATTTACCATAAAACGCACAATTGACGTGTTGTAACTAAAGAGTTAGCCTCCATATAGACTCTCTGAAATCAATAAATGATCAATGCAATATATAAAAGAATATAAAATGAAATAACATCTACATTAATTAACAACTTCATTTTATTGAGATGTTATATATATCCAAATTTGAAGCGTTCCAAGTAACACTATAACACTTTTACCTAAAGAAACTGCCTGACATTAGATTTAACCCCATTGTGGAACAAAGTTTTAAATTGAACCATATGGGAATGTATGTTTAGTACATTGTCCTAAAACTTTGTCATGTGAAAATAAGGCCCTATTTTAATATATCTTGTTGATCTTATGATATCATAATTCTTGAGAAGTATAAAACATTCACAAACATGATTCATGATCAGTGATTTTAATATTGAATGATACATATATGATATATACATTTATAATTTTGTATTAAGTATAGAATTTTTTCTTATTCCAGATAAAATCCAAGATAGCAAGCAAGTTGATAACACGGAGCAAAACAAAAACCTCAAAAAGCCACAAGAAGATTGTTGCTATGCTAAACAACCTCAGTAAAGATAAATCAGGTGCTCCAGTATCGTGGAAATTTAACAAATCTGGTATCAAGCAAGCCAATAAGGTTGCTAAGAGACTACAAACTGCTCAGGACAAGGAGCTGCAAAAGGGCCCATCAACATCAACAGAAAGTAGACAAACTGACACTGATACAAACAAAGTTAAATCGGAGAAAAAATCTGAGAGTAAGAATATAAAGAGTAGCGAGCAAGTCACTCAAAAGAAAAAACCAGGAAGACCAAAAATTGTCAGAAACGAAAATCAACAATCAGGGTCCAACCAAGGTATATTGGATTCAATAACTCAAGAAGAGGTTATTGGTTTCCACACTGAGGGGCAAATAGAAAATACACAGAAATCTGGTCGTGGGAGAAAAAAGAAAATTTTATCCAAAGATATTCGAATTAAGAGACTTGAAATTTTGAAGCGTCATATTGAGAGAGGAAGAGGTCGAGGACGTGGAAGAATAAAACGTATTCGTGAATTACATACAACTACTGTACTTGAAAAAGACAATTCAGATACAGACGATATGGATGGTCAAAATAAAAATAATATAAACCAAGATAAACTAAAATTACTTAAAGAACAAATTGACAGTGAGAGAAAACGTGGCAGAGGACGTGGTCGTGGTCTCCGTGGAAGACCACGCATAAACCTGCCTGGTAGTCATTCAAGCATAATCAATGCACATCATTTAACTGTAAAAGCTGCAATTAAAGCTGATCATGCACATGCTAATTTAGAATTGAATCCATTAAGAAGTCGTGGCCGTGGTCGTGGCCGTGGTCGTGGTCGAGGTCGTGGTAGAGTAAAAAAAGGTCGACGTCCTTGGAAACATTTGAATGCAGAAATCAGAACTGATACCAACACACCACAAAGTTCATCAACATCTGAGCAATCTACAAGACCAATAGGAAGGCCTTTTGGTCGAAGAGGAAGGGGTCCACGATGGACATCTTTAAACAGACATACCTTAAATAAATCTGTGTTGAATGAACATACTAGAGCAGTAATTTCCAGTGGGAATTTGAATTTTGGTGAACAGTTTAATGAGACTCCTGTAGATTCTGAAAACGAAAGTATAGACTCTAATCTTAGTAGCGCTTCATCGAAGGCACGTAAAAGAAAATTACATCATCATTTGGGAATAAAGTTAGGACCATCAAAAATGTTACGAAGTCAGGACAGTATGAAAACGAGAATTGTTAAGAATTCTAGTGGCCAACCAGTGCCGAAAAAGCGAAAAAGAACATTAAGTGGTGAATTTGATCTATTAGACGAAAAAACTTTGAGGAGACAAATGCGTGGGAGGGATGATGATGATAATTCCACAGTCCAATCATTTGATGGCAGCTGGGCAGATGTTACTGATTCAGAATTTAATGATTCACAAATTGATAATGTATATGGTGAGAGCGACAGTGAAATGCAGGATTCACATATAAAATCAAATAAAGGGATAATTTTCAATGAAATGAATCAGTCAGAAACGAGTAAAAAGGATTCACATTTGCAAGGAATAAAGCTTGGTCGAAGGAAGGGTAGACCACCAAAAATATTATCAAAGGACTATGAAATACCAATTAAAATTAAAAAGAAGGCAAAAGAGTTTATGAGTGTCAAAACTCCATACATACGTCACAATAAAACAGGAAGATTGACCATCATTGGTCCAGGTGGTATTCAGTTTGTAAAAGTTCGAGGTCAACAAGGGGATGATGATAAGGTCGTTTATAAGCTGGCAATTGATAAGGAAGTTGAAAATAGCGATTTGATAGAAAAATATAATGACACATATGAGTCAAATGCAAAGGAAGAAATTATTACCGTCCAAATTGTCCAGGATGAAAGCTTAAAAGAGAATATATTCTTTCAAGAGAAAAAGATCAAAGAAAAATTGTCCGGTTTTCATGATAATAATTTACAAAAAGAAATTGATGTTAAATCTGTTCAAAGTGTTAAACAAACAAAAGATACTGTTGATTTTCATTCTAAAGAAATACTTACCACCGAAGCAGAAATATCTCCAGAAACAATACTTTTGTCCTTAAAACAAGTGAAGTATGACAAAACTGAATCATCAAATATGCAAGAGGAAATGCTGAAAAGGTCAGATGCGTCAGACAAACTTGTAGGTCATGAAAATGAGACTGAGATGCCAACTGTGGAAGAATTGGTGCCACAGCCAGGTGTTGCAGAATCGTTGCAACAGCATTCACAAATTATTCAGGAAGTAGAATCAAAGAAAAGTGAAAATTACTGTCATGCCACACAAACAATAGACGTTGCTAAAATTGCCGAAACAGTGTCACACAATATTTCTGAGCAAATCGAACTAGACAAAAGCATTCCTAAATCAGAGGATGGCATCATTAGCATTGAAGCAGCATGTGTTGCAACAACAGCTTATGACAATTTAAATAAATGCGAATTGGCAGCTATCACAAGTACTGCTGCTGATGATCATGTTGAGCAGATTAAAAAAACTGACGACAAAAGTTTTCACGAAAAAATGGCCGATAATGATGATAAGAATAAAATATCTCATGGAGATGAAAATCAAACTGTAGAGAAAGTAGATGATATAATAAATGAAGAAAATATGCATTTAGAACTGATGGCAGATGATCCAGAAAGCAAAGAGGATGAAATGTCATCAAATGACCAAGCACAACTTGTAATTTCTGATGTTCTAGATGAAATGGTGGATGAGATATGTGGGAAAGTCAAATCGGAATATGAAAACATTGAAAAGGAGGAGAATGCTATAGAAAAGAAGGATAAGAACAAAAATGAAGATGAGGTTACAAAAGAAAATGTTGACTCTGTACATAGTGATGTGACAGGGTCTATTGAGACTGAAAGTGTCATACTTCCAACATGTCCAACAATTGCAAACAATGCAGAGAAAACAGTTTTTGATATTCAACAATCAACAGAAACATTACCAGTTGATAGTATATTGAATGAGGCAAACAATACACCAATGGCTGTAACGGAAGACAAAATCAAAATATTAGATGAAGATGCAAAGAGTAAAGATGAGAGCAAGATAGTTGGTGATTCAACTGAGTCAATTGAAGAAAGTAACAAGGTTGATGAAACCAGTGATGATATTTTGGAAACTAGCACTGAAGAAGATAACGAGGCTGATATTACTGAATCCAATGCAAATGAAAACATTGAAGACAACAATGGAAAATCCGTTCCAATCCACACAGAACCAATGGATAAAAGTGAAGAATCAGCATCTGTAAGAGATTTAGCTGACTTGCAAAACAAACGGAAAAGAAAGATAGAAAATGAATCAGATTCTAAGTCAGATGGTGATTCAATGCAGGAATCGGTTATCGTAACAACTCCTGAAACTTCAGGAAAAACAGAAGTCAAACGTGTTTTCCAGTTAAGAAAGAAGGCATCTCGTTCTCCATTAGAAATAATTGCAATGAAGCATAGTCTGGAAGAGAGAAAATATATGTTGGAAGAAACTCAACGTGCAATCAGAAGGGAGGAGAAACAAAAGAAAATGTTCCAAAACAAATTACTGAGAGAGAAAATTGAGCAGCTTTCCCCGCCAAAACATTCTATAGACCAAATGTCTCCTCCAAAACAAACAGAACAGTTACAACATGTACAAGATTGCTCACCTGAAAAAATAGATGAAATTCCAGAAGCGCCAACACATTTATGTAAACCTTGTTCTATTGTTTTGATTGACTTTGTGAAGTATTTGAAAATGAGTGATCATTCTGAGAAATCTACACCCGATCTTGATCATGATGAAATGTCTACAACTGAAGATGAAGCTGCAACTGATACTGAAGCGACTGTCAATGTCAAACCAAATCAGAACCTCGCTGAAGTTACGACTGATGTCCAGAATAGTTCTATCGTATCAGGAAATGAATCTAAAGATGCTACACAAAAGTCAGCAATAGAAGGGTCAGATCCTCCCATCAAAAGACCAGCAAAAGCTAGGAAGCAAGCAAAATCATATAATTATTCGTCAAAGTTGTCAAAGATGACTGCTGAAATAGTATCAAGTCCTGAGCCAACTGATATCGAAACAAAATCATTTACAGTTCCGCCGTTGATATTGAAAATAAAGCAGAAAGAAAAGGTGAAAAAGAGGTTTAAAGGTCACAAGTGGACAGTGCCTCGAAACAGAGCTAGAAAGCAGATGACACCATTTAGACGAATCTTACCAAAACAAACATTTGAATTTGAAACTCTTGGGTCAAAAGACACAGCATTCAACTTTGAGGATTCTTCAGGGAAAGTGTTTCCGTCAGCTAGCACGTTGTCACAAGTACCCATTCCCGCAACTACTGTGGTTGCTAATCAAGGATTAGCATCAGAATATACAGAAAATAATTCACCAAATATTGCACTTCAGACTTTAAATAAAAATTCCTCAGAGAATATATTTAGGTTTAAATGCAATTACAAAAACTGTGAGTTTAAGTCACAAATGAGAAATCTGATGGAATCACACATCTACATTCATTTGAATTCTCCGTTTAAATGTTCGCATTGTGATGAAATATTCCCTTCCAGAAATGCAGCATTCAATCATTCTAAAAAAGCGCATTGTGAAAAAGAACTAAAAATTATTACAGTTGACACTGTTGATGAAAGTAAATATTACGAAGAAATTAATACTCCACAAACGTCTGAAAATTCCAATGTCATTCAGGCTGATATAGCAGACGTTCAGCATTCATCGGAATCGTTAATAATTAGTGTAAGACTCCCACGTAATATTAATGACAGTGCTACTGGATGTTATTGTTGTTGTCATTGTGATTTCTCCGCTAGTAAAGTGAAAGACATCAACACTCATGTCGAACATGAACATCGTGATCACATTCAATATCTTTGTTCAGTATGCAACAAGTCTGTAAGTCGCTATGGCGAAGGAATCGCTAGACACTTTTCTAATGAACATCCTGATCAACCAGTAGCATACAAAAGTTTACCTGATTATTACGATGTCAGAAAAACAATAGAAAAGCCTTCAAGTGGCGATAAAGGGAATATTTTCGATAGAATGAGTGATTTATTTTCTGGGAAAAAACCTTCAGAGAAAGGTTCAAAAACGTTTACAGAGAAAACAAGTGCTGAGGCTGATAGTACAACTGCCGAAAACGATGAAGATATTACTTCGACTGATTCTCAACCATCAGCTGATGAGCCAACGACTACCGATCACTTAGATACTAGTAAGAAAACTATAGAAGCAATCCATCATGAACCAGATGGGATTGAACAGCTGGCCCAAATGTATGGTACTCCCACTTCTACTGAAGGAGATAAAACTGCATCAGATGATACCAGGTATGTATCCATATTGTACATGTACATGTACATCAGGGATTTAAACAAATCACAACAAACAAACAAAACTCGTTCAAAATATTAGAGAGAAAAATACAACCAAAGATTAATTTTTTTGGCTACCTACACCAAGTACACCTTGTGATGTATACATATATATAAGGAAATTTTTATTTACCATATATCCAATGTCACAAGGTTACTCTCAGTCAGCAGGTCAGGGTAATACAATTCTTGTTTATTTACTTGAAGATGTTAGTACATGTAATATTTGTTTGTCAGTCAGGGGTACTACTTGTACAAGTAGTTTTTATTTACTTGAAGAAGTAAATATTAATATACTTATATAAGTAAATTTGTAAGATACTTATACAAGTGTATTTTATTTACTTGTATAGGTAAATTATTTTATTGGCATAGTTATGTCCCTTAGACATTCAGATTGTTTTACTTATACAATTAAAAAAGTCGTACTATCTTCTTTTCTTGAATTTCTCAGGACTTCTTTGCTCTAATAAAACTTTTAATTGTCTGTGATTTGCAGATGTCTTTACTAATCATTTAAGTGTTATTTCATGGACAATGAAAATCTCATTTGTCTGTTATCTTCAGAACACTGCTCATTTACAACCCCCCAAGGAGAAATTTTTGAAGGCCTTGCCTAATTAAGATCTTTGTGCAATTAGTTTCTTTGTTGAATTAATGAGATGAAACATTAAACTCTAACGTCTAATAAAAAATTATGAGCTAACCTAGAAAAAATGTTAAAGGCATGTTTTTACATCTCAAAACTTGAGAATTTTAGGGATTGTAAAAAAAAAATTACTTAAACAAGTAAATTTTTGAGAAAATTAAGGGGAGATTATTCAAACATTATAAGAAAAAATGAAAATAACAAAATTTACTTATGTAAGTATATTATTATTTACTTCTCCAGGTAAATAAAGATTACTTGTACAAGTAGTACCCCTGACTGTTTGTAGAAGTACACAAAATTTGTAAGATTTCAATTTTCATTTTCAAGATTTGAATTATCTCCCCTTAATCAGTTTGAGCTCAGACATAAACCAGTCTTTTTTTTGTTTCTGACTTATGGAAGTTAAATCATGTATTTTGATAAAAATGTGTTTAGTATTTTGGACTTGTCTTAGACAGAAAATGACAGACTTGTTTAGGTCAATTTTCTGCTTCATTAACAGGATAAAAACACATTATTTGCCTTGGTGGTCTAAGTACATCACCTATGACAATAATATCTCTTCTGAGAATTTACAAGGACCTGAGCTATAGACCTACAAGTAAGATCTCATTGCACATTTATTGGTAAATTCTAAGTTTTTTCCAGTTTTAGTGGTTATAAATAGTTGTACCAGAAATGGAATGAACATTGTCGCCGTTTTAGCTCGCCTATTAAAGTGAACTTTCTCATCAATTGGGGTCCAGCGTACGGCATCGTGTGTTAACTTTTACAAAAATCTTCTCTGAAACTGCTGAACCAAATTTAACCAACCTTGGCCACAGTCATCATTGGGGTATCTAGTTTAAAAAATGTGTTCGATGACCCCACCTGCAAATCAAGATGGCCAACAATTGCTTAAAATAGATCATAGGGGTAAAATGCAAGTTTCGTCCGTTATAAATAAAGAAAATCTAACAGGGCAAAAATCTTCAGTATGTTGAGCTCTACCAATTGTTCATTGACGTCAAAACTGTCAGACGACTTCCTATAGGAGTTATTGCCCTTAAATGATTTTACAATTTTTTTTCATTTTTGCCTTTTATCTTGAAAACTATAATAGACAAAGAGAAACTAAGTTGCAAAAAATTATCAGCAAGACAAGATCTACGAATAAGTATGCATGGTCGAAATCGTCAGTCGACTCCTAATAAGAGTTAATGCCCTTTGATGACGACTTTTATCATTTTTTTGCCTTATATCTTAAAAATTAAGACAACAAATGGAAGTATTTAACGACCTTGACTGGCTATATACAGCCCTTGCACGGTCGGCAAAAAATTTTTTTTTATAAAAATTAAGTTAGATAGTTATTAAACTTAAATAAGCAAAAATGATCAGCAAGACAAGATCTACATTTAAGACTCCTTATTGGAGTTATTGCCCTTCTAATGACGATTTACCAACTTTTTTTTTTGCGTTTTGCCCTATATGATAAAAATTAAAATAGATAAATAGAAACTTTAAATAACAAAAATGATCAGCAAGGCAAGATCCACAAACAAGTCAAATTTTGCAGATATAGTTAGTATCTTCAGTACTGGACATCACTCTTCATAGGCATTGATAGGAGTGATTGGCTTTAAATGAGGATTTGTTTACCCTCTTTTGTGTTTTGAGCAAAAACTAAAGGAGATAGAGAGAAAAAAAACAGACAAAATGATCAGTAATACAAGATCAACAAAATAGAAATTTTTGTCATGAATCTATTCTTGTCTACAATAATGTTGGAGAGAGTCAATTGTAGATCATGCACATAGACCTAGGTGAGCGACACAGGCTTTTTAGAGCCTCTAGTTTAGAATCAAAATCATATTTTTCTTCAGAAGACGAAGCAATTTTATGTAGATGCTTGGCCTTTTTATATGCCCTTCATATTTGTTACGGGACGTATTATGTTATACAAATGTCCGGCGTCCGTCCGTCTGTCTGTCTGTCTGTCTGTCTGTCTGTCCGGCGTAAACATGTCGCACCGTAACTTGAGAATGACTTATCCAAATTTCATGAAACTTAACATAGTTGTTTCTTATGATGGTCAAACAATCTGTATACTTTTTGGTGAAAATAAGATTAAAACTTTTTGAGTTACGGGACTTAGTAACTAAAACAGGTGTGTGTTTTTTTTCACATGTCGCGCCGTATCTCAAAAACAATTTATGATTATTGCATAAAACTTTACACACTTCTTAGTTATATTAATCTTAAGATCTGTATACTTTTTGGTGATGATTCAAAATTTTATTTTGGAGATATTGAGTATTTTGTTAAAAAAGGGGGAGGGGTTTTTCACATGTCACGCTGTATCTCAAAAACAGTTTATGATTATTGCTTAAAACTTTACACACTTCTTAGTTATATTAACCTTAAGATCTGTATACTTTTTGGTGATGATTCAAAATTTTATTTTTGAGTTATTGAGTATTTTGTAAAAAAAAGGGGGAGGGGTTTTTCACATGTCGCGCTGTATCTCTAAAACGATTTATGATTATTGCTTAAAATTTTACACACTTCTTAGTTATATTAATCTTAAGATCTGTATACTTTTTGGTTTTGATTCAAAATTTTATTTTTGAGATATTGATTTTTTTTTTTTTTAAAGGGGGGTTTTCACATGTCGCGCCGTATCTCAAAAACGATTTATGATTATTGCTTAAAATTTTACACAATTCTTAGTTTATTAATATAAAGATCTGTATACTTTTTGGTTTTGATTCAAAATTTTATTTTAGAGATATTGAGTTTTTTGTAAAAAAAAAAAAGGGGGGTTTTCGCATGTCACACCGTATGTCAGAAACTATTTATGCTTATTGCATAAAAATTCACACACAAGACGACGGGTGTATCATGCGCTCATGGCACAGCTGTTTATCATGTTTGTGCAGCATGGGTCTTGAAGTTTCCCAATGTTGGTATCTTTTTGACTTTATTAAGAGTTCAATAATCTCAACATTTTGATACAAGTCAAAAACAAAATTAGGCTTATTTATCATGTTTATGTCTGAGCTCTGACTGTTAATTATATAATCTTCTATAACATTAAATACAAGTACTTTTTTCACAAGACCTTAATTTCTGACATATTGGTAGGTCAAAACATGCTTAAACAATTTTTTTCTGGTTTGCTAATATTTTTTTAATTAGAGTTCAACCTTTTATCTCGAGAACTAAACAAAGAAATCTACTGGGCACATATCATGCATATATGTTAAGTAACTGTGTGAGGCCTTTAAAAATTGCTCCCTGGAGGCTTGTAAATGAGCAGTGTTTTTGAAGAAAACAGACAAATCAGAGAAACTTTACATTGTTTATGAAATTATACATTTATGAGTAGTAAAGTCAACTTTATAAGTTTTAATGACCGACAATTAAACATTATTAACATGATTAACAGCAATGTAGTCAAAAAGAAATTCAACAAAAAAACAAGAGGAAATTTTGACTTATTTAAGTAAAAAACATTAAAAAAAAACATCTGAATATCTACAGGATACAAATCAACCTCCAAATGACTGGCCTGTACAAGTAGATAAAAACACTTGCATAAATATTACTCCTAACTGACTGTAAATTCCTACTTGTCATGATAATGTGGATGTTTAAACTTTTAAAAAATGTGACAGAATTAGTTTAGCATTTTTATCATCATGATCATGGTATTCTTGGAATTAAAATTATTAGTAATTGATGATTATGGATAACATAATACTGTATAATTATTATTAGTAAGCAGCTTTCCTAAATAGGCCTTAATTACTGGTAACACATATTTTGTGTCCCCTGCGTAACACGATGAGGGGGACATGGAAATACCAGGTATCCATCCGTCCGTCTGTGCGTCCGTCCATCCTGTCTTAATGTTAGCGCTCTCGTGTACAATTCTTGCCAGATTTTCTTAAAACTTATGTCATAGGTTTATATCAGCAATGTCTTGGCTGAGTTTGTAAATCAGTGCTGATAAATTGTTTTTAAAAGCAGGGTTGGTAAAAACCCGGGTTTTATGAGTATTGCCCAGCCCAGTGGGAAAATTTAATATTTAGTATATTTAGTATAAAATGTATATATTTAGCTATCATGCTATTAAACTACAACAAGTCTTTACTATTTTATGTAAAAATAAGCTTGAAAAATCATATTACCCAGTATTGCCCAGTATTACCTGTTTCTAGGAGTATTGCCCAGCCCGGGAAAACCTGGGAAACCTGGTTTTTCCCGCCCGGGTAATACTTTGCAAACCCTTTTTAAGAGTTATGCCCCTTGGACACATTAATTTTATGCAAAATTGCATCTTTAGCGCTCTCATTTGATCAATTCTTGCCAGAATTTTTATGAAACTTATATCATAGGTTTTATATTAGCAATGTCTTGGACTAGTTTGGAAATCAGTGCTGATCAATTATTTTTAAAATAGTTATGCCCCTTGGAAAAATAAATTATATGGAGAATTGCATGGTCAGTCAGGGGACTTACTTAAATTAGTGATTTTCTAAATCACTGATTCAAGTAATTACATTATGTCCCTAAAGGTTGGAAGTAAGAGTTGTCTTTCTTTAATAATCACCTATTTAAGTAGTACAAATTAATCACTAGAATAAGTGATTTAATTGTATTGTAGCTTTAAATATAGAATACGAATGATCCAGGGACTAATTATGTTGCTAAAATTATCAGAACCAACATCTGTGTTGATAGGATGACCGGGTCATGTCAGGTGATGACCTTGTACTAAATCTAGGATAATGACATAAAAATCACTTGTTTTAAGTATCATACCTCAATTTCCTTCCAAAAAATCACTTCTTTAAGTATCATTATTTTAATAACCCCCACTAATTTCAACACCCCGAACAGTGAAATTTTGATCGCGAACAGTAGAATTTTATTACATAATCTGTAAGATGAAACCTTGAATTTTACAGAAAATACTCCCACTGCTGGGAAAAATCTGTTAAGAAAGTATCAGTTCATTATGTAAAGCCATTATTATAGCATTTTTTCAACTAAAATAGAATTTGCAGCTAAATGATTACATCAAAAGCATAAACCTTGCTACTTTAAAGAAGCAAAAAGTTTATTTTTTTCAAAATAATCAATATTTTGAAAAGATATTATCTAAACCTATGTGGTTTAAAATTTTGGTAAAACTACAAAATCACAATTTGTGACAAAACTTCCAATTTGCTACTTAAATAAGTGATTTAAAAATCACTTATTTCAATAAGTCCCCTGACTGATGGTTAGCCCTCTCATATGTACAATTCTTGCCAGAATTTTATGAAACTTAAATCATATAGGTTTATACATGTTATATTAGCAATGTCTTGGACGAATTTAAAAATCAGTGCCGATCAATAATTTTTAAAAGAGTTATGCCCCTTGGAAATATTAATTATATGGAAAATTGCATGGTCAGTCAGGGGACTTACTTAAATTAGTGATTTTCTAAATCACTGATTCAAGTAATTACATTATGTCCCTAAAGGTTGGAAGTAAGAGTTGTCTTTCTTTAATAATCACCTATTTAAGTAGTACAAATTAATCACTAGAATAAGTGATTTAATTGTATTGTAGCTTTAAATATAGAATACGAATGATCCAGGGACTAATTATGTTGCTAAAATTATCAGAACCAACATCTGTGTTGATAGGATGACCGGGTCATGTCAGGTGATGACCTTGTACTAAATCTAGGATAATGACATAAAAATCACTTGTTTTAAGTATCATACCTCAATTTCCTTCCAAAAAATCACTTCTTTAAGTATCATTATTTTAATAACCCCCACTAATTTCAACACCCCGAACAGTGAAATTTTGATCGCGAACAGTAGAATTTTATTACATAATCTGTAAGATGAAACCTTGAATTTTACAGAAAATACTCCCACTGCTGGGAAAAATCTGTTAAGAAAGTATCAGTTCATTATGTAAAGCCATTATTATAGCATTTTTTCAACTAAAATAGAATTTGCAGCTAAATGATTACATCAAAAGCATAAACCTTGCTACTTTAAAGAAGCAAAAAGTTTATTTTTTTCAAAATAATCAATATTTTGAAAAGATATTATCTAAACCTATGTGGTTTAAAATTTTGGTAAAACTACAAAATCACAATTTGTGACAAAACTTCCAATTTGCTACTTAAATAAGTGATTTAAAAATCACTTATTTCAATAAGTCCCCTGACTGATGGTTAGCCCTCTCATATGTACAATTCTTGCCAGAATTTTATGAAACTTAAATCATATAGGTTTATACATGTTATATTAGCAATGTCTTGGACGAATTTAAAAATCAGTGCCGATCAATAATTTTTAAAAGAGTTATGCCCCTTGGAAATATTAATTATATGGAAAATTGCCTTATGAGCGCTCTAATGTGTATAATTCTTGCCAGATTTTTATGAAATTTATATTATAGGTTTATATCATCAATGCACTTGAAGAGTTCAAAAATCAGTGCCGATCATTTTTTTTTAAAAGAGTTACATCCCATGAAAATATTGATTATATGGAAAATTGCAATGTTATCGCTCTCAAGTGTTCAATTCTCGTCAGAATTTTATGAAACTTAAATCATAGGTTTATAACAGCAATGTCTTTGAAACTTTTGAAAATAAGTTCTGATCAAATATTTTTAGCGAGGTATGCCCCTTGGAAATATAAATCATAATTGAAATCACATTGTATTTGCTCTGAAGCCTTCATTTCTCTTAAGATATTTATAAAAAGTTTTAAAAACAAAATGTGCTTTTTTTAGTTATTGCCCTTGTACCTTGGATAGATAAAATATGTGCAACGCGGAGGACATTGCAATTGGAACTCTGTTCTTTTATTAATTTGGCCCTTCCTACTACAATGTACTAGTGGTACCCTATAGTTATGAAAGTAATCACTGTCTGTCTGTTAGCACCTCTATGTATAAAATGTATGATAAGTCAAGATTACCTCATTAGCCAGCTGATTTCAATAATTTGTATGCGCAGTGTTTTAAAACATCAATTAAACAAAAGCATGAAAAGATGCTTTTAATTTTTGTGAAATTTAGACAATTCTTAACCTCCTTATTTCACCTGTACTAGTTCCCCATTCATATATAATCATGATAATATGGCTAGCAACGTTATTATTGGTGACCTTAACATTGTCAATAACACTTCTCTGCGAAATGTGTTATCAAAAGGCCCGAAATATCATGAGCCTAAATCCATCAATTAGAAACACAACTTCAAGATACTGATGGATTCAGTCGAGGATTATGCCAGGAAATGGATTAAACACGAGAAAGAAAATTTAAAACTCTTTAATCATGATTTTTGTCGTGCTAAAAGACGCAGAATGCGAGACATAGGAATTACAATCTGGTGACAATGTACATGATGTAGACATGTAGAAACAGAACACATAAGTGTAAAGCTTTGGGCAAAAAAAAAATGCCAATCAAGACCCTGAGTTATATTAGGTGTTTTGGAAGGCAAGACTACCGGAAGTTATATATATCATGTGTACAATGCACATGTATGTTTGGAAGAAGATTATGCTTCCAGTCATATGACAGTTCAAAAATTTCTAAAAAATTAAAAAATTTACATTGAATTTCATAGGCTTTGGACCTGAAAACCAGTGCTTAAGTTGATAACTGGAGTATAAATGATATCAAATGTTTGCTTTGTTTCAGAAATGCAAGTGGAACTGAGAATGCTAATCAGCTGTTAGAAGATAATTCTGGAAATGATATGGGACTGAAAATCGTAGATGTTGTCAGCTTACAAGGAGGAAGTGACTTCGCTAAAGATGTTTGGGGTGAAACAGCTGAATCAAGTAAACCCTCTCCTATTCCCATTCAAATGCCAGTTAATCGGCCTCCAGTTCTGGTACCCACTAGTAGTTTAAGACATCAGTTACAAGTTAATAACAGGCCGCTTCTTCCCATGCCACAGAGGATGTCTAGCATTATGGATTCTGCTAAATTAAAAGAGACTACGACGACATACAAATGTGAAAAATGTAATGTGCATGCACCTGTGTTGTCTTCAATGGTTGAACATTTACGTACAGGTCATAAAGAGATTCCACGATTATTTTTATGTCCGTTTTGTAGACAGTATGAAGGTGCTACCGAACCTGACATTCATAAACATATTAAGCAGTTTCATCCATCTCCTAACACAAAAAGCCCGCCTGTGGCCTTGTCAAGCGATGCCAAACAACATTTACGAACAATCGAAGTGCCTGTGGGAGACACACAGAAAATTGACGGGAAATATTTAATTGAGAAGGACATTTACAAATGTTTAAAATGCAAGCGCCACATGCCATCTCTAGACTATATTTATGAACATTTGGAAAAAGAACATAATGAAGTATTTGTATATGTTTGTCCAGATTGTAAACGATTTCGTGCTAAAGAAGAGGAGGTTGTATTTAATCATATTAAAACAGTTCACAACAAAAATACAGACGATATAATTCTATCTCTTGCAATCGAAGAGAATCTCTTTACAAGGGTTCAGTGCCTTATAAAAGATAAAACCTCACAAACTAAAAGTGCATCACAAAAACAGATACCACCACCTCTAACCTCACAGAGTAATCAACTAAGACAAGGGCATGATAATATGGCAGTTCCTAGCAGCAGGCAACAATCTATGCCAGTGCCTGGCATCAGACATCAACATATGGCAGTACCTAGCAGCAGGCAACAACCTATGCCAATTCCCAGCAGTAGGCAACAGCCTTTGCCAGTCTATCATCATAGACCCCTTCAACCAGTAAGGCCACCAATGCAACCTGTCTTCCCTGGCATGATACAAAATCAGCCTGTTAGAATGCCAGGTCCGGTTTCTGCTCCTATTCCAGTTCATTCTCAACCTAGCAGTCAGCCAGTAAATCCAAATCCACCCGTAAATAAAGCTGCTATGAGAAAGTCATACCGACCTGTACATATTCCTCAACAGCAAAATACTGAAGCCACTCAGGCTCAAGCTTTGCCATATAGTGATGGAAGGAAGGTAACAAGTCCACCACCCTTAATGAGAGGACCACCACCTCTTATTCGTTTTCAAGGAAATAATTCACAGCCTCAGTCACAAGTAGTGCCATCATCAACTTCTATTAGACATACAAACTTTCCAATGACAGATAGGGTGCAAAGACTTCATCCTCAGTCTCAAGGACAATCAATGTCTAGTAATGTCTCACCGCCACCACAAAGCAGACCAGTACTTAAGGTGCCATCGGTACCCATTCGACGGTCTGTGACGTCTCCAAATCATCAAAGTGATGGGAAAACGTCGGAAGGTGGAGCACCGTTAGACTTGTCTAGGAATTCCACTCCTAACAGTCAACACGACAACTCTGAAGATATGGACGATATGTCGCCTGATGCATTCCAGATATTTAATTTACAACCAGCAAGACAGCCAACACCGAATATTAGGCCAGTGCCATATTCACAAATGCATGGCATGCAGCAACAAAGACCTCAGCAGATAGGACAATACAATCCAGCAGCCTACAATAGACCCGGAATGTATAATCAGATGTACAGGGCTCCTCCTCCGTACCCTCAATCATATCAAAGACTTCATCATCAGAGTCCAAATCAATTGTCTGGTCAAAAGCCAGCACAACCTCTCAAGTGTCCGTATTGTCCAAGTCTAGTGCCATTATCCATGGGAGAAGTTGCTCCTCACATTCAAAAATTCCACCCTGGTCAGAAAATTCAGTATGTGAAAAAGGACTAATATTTTTCTGAACTGTTATATGCAAATTTGTAAAAATAAATAACTTTTTTATGTATGTGCGTGTGGTACAGAATAGTTTTTTTGTGTTTTCTAATCACGTTTGTAATAATGTAATACAGTGTCAGTTAATATGAATCATGTTTTATATGTGAAAACATATGTTGTTTTTCCAATGAAAATGTGTATATATATTTCACATTAGTTTCAGCACTAAACAAATGTATTTATTTACAAACATGACAAAAAATAGCATTTATATACATGTTATATAATGTTTTGATAGGTCATGTAGGTCCTTATTCTAAAATGTTCTAAGCATTGCTATAAATATCATGTTTAAACATAAAATCATGTGGAAGAAAGAAAATTTTGGAAAATGTTCTTGCTCTTAACAATTTATTGTAAAGTTCAATGACTTGTCAATTTTGTTTGTTTTAAGAAGTCAATTTTATTTTTTTGTTTTTTTGTATGAAATACATTCAAGTTCAAAATAATTCAGACACATTCCTAAAGTTAGAAAACTTTCCATAGAATTTTTCAAAGATTTATAAAATGTTATTCCATATAAGCATGCAACACATCCCATGGTAGTCCCTATGCATTACTCCCTTCAAAATTCAGCTTTATATGTGTTAAAATTGAAAATTTACAGATGTGACAGACACAGATGTTGTTCACCTGTAAATCCATTTTCTTTGTCAGAGAAGAATTTTATCATTTTTTTTTACTCCTTTCAGTTATTCCATTTTGAAAACTTTTCCAAAATTGCTAGACTTTGTAAGAGCAGGCAGATAATGACACTTTTGAAAGGGGTGGCAGTGTTTCAGATAAATTCTATGAATTTGAAGAAATAATTTATTTCAAAGAAAAACACCCCTGAAAGTTTGGTAGGAGTTATTAGTTTTGCTTAAATAGAATAGACAGCAGTCAAAATAGACACATAATTTAGCCTTCAGTCTCACTTCATTTTGTTCAAAGTCCATCTTATAGACAACTGAATAAAAACACTTTTATATCTGTTATACAGATATAGTTTTTGATTGGAGATAATTGCCTTACTGCTTCATCTAACAATTTGAAGATACAGGTATGCTCGTAGAAGTTTAAATTTTGAATGAATATAAATATATTCCAATTTTCTTACAATTTTCCAGATATCATATTAATTGTTGTTTGTCAGTGATTTTTTGTAAGATTTCACTTTTATAAGTTGTATTTGAAATTATTAATTTTCGTATGTTTGTGTTATTGATTTTTTTTTAATTGTACTTTTGTTGCATAGAAAAATGGGCATTATTTATTTAAGTTTGCAAACCATACAAGCAGCATATTGCTATAGTCAACACTGTAACTATTTTTATAATTGTTCTTCATTTCACAATTTTTTAATTGGTCCTAAGCAGGGTAGGAAACTCACTGGAAATGTCTACCAGACCACAGGGCTGGCTGCATAAAAAAATTACCTGTCCTGATCAAAATTTACCAGCCCTGAAAATTAATGCAATAAAAATCCAACCCATTTTCCTTCAAGATTCTGAATTATGTTTTTGTGTTTTGAGATGTTTTAATGACTAGAAGTATTATTAGATTAACTTGAGGATTTTTTGTGATGAAAATGACTTATGATTGCTTTTGTAAATACACACTGCAACAAGACTTACAAGTGCACATTTAAGCAGACACTGCTAAGCCTAATGACCAGTTGTTCAGAAGCAAGGTGTGATTTCATTTTTAGAATTTGGGGTGGGCATTGGGGGGTGTTAGTTTGTCTTCAGTGTAATTCAGCATGATTTGTTTGTACCTTTGTTCAACAAAATTACTTTTAAGCAAATAAAAATAAAATTTTGGTTTCATTTATAATTTTATCGCTCCTCATTTTCACAATATTTGTGTCCATCGGATTTTGCATGTGTTGTAAGGGCAACGTGCCTTAAATTTGCACAACCAACTACAAACTGGCCTTTTGCATATCGCCGAAATCTTTCAGGTACTTTTCTGACTGCCAAGGGCCCATACGCTGAACGGCATGGTTGACAAAATATTTTTCCATGCGAGTCGTCACAAATCAACCACTCGAACTCCGTTTTCCAACCAGGAACAATTGTCCGCTTCCTCTTAGACTGATCGTACAATTTTTTTTTTCTGTTGAGTCAACAGCAGTTCGCTTTTTCGGCCACGAAATGCCCAAGTAGTTTACCAAAACAAATTTGTACTTTCGATCTAATATTTATTTTTTATTTAATAAACGCGATCGCGATTGGACAATTCGATACCAACTAGCCAATGAGTGCGGATCTTACAAACAACAGGTATCACCATGTTCCCTGCAGAAATCGCGTGGAAACACGTGGTAGTAAATAACCCGAATAATTCAGTCGTTATATTCCGCTGATCTACGAAGGCTACATTAACGCCTGAACGTCTTCCTAGATAAAGACCGTCAACCGGAAAATTCACACCGCTATGCAATATGGGAATTTTTATTTAAGTTGGCAGCTAAAGAAGGAGGAGTTCCGGATGTTAATTGATGTTAAATGATGTAAACTGATGTTAATTGATGTTAATTAATTATTATCGGATTTGTGTTAATTGAACACACGTGTTTGGTAAGACAATTACAAGACAGTTGCGCAGACTCATTATCCTGATGGCCACCGATTGGCTCTCTCTCGCAGAGAGCAGGCGACGCGGCCAATGATCATAAGGAGTTCGCCCTTGTGTGGGAGAAAATCGGACACGGAAAGGGCTTGAATTATTCGAGTTAGGTAGTAAAAGGTTAATTGGCAGTCATGATTCTTACGTGCTGTTATGAATGGGGTAATACTGAGAACTCATTCCAAAAATAGAAAAAGGTAATCCCAACCACCTGCAAAAAATAGACCGTCCACCGGACTGTTGAAATTTAATTTTTGACCGCCCGATCGTTAAATAGGCCGTCTCGGGCGGTCGGGCGGGCTATAATTTCCAACTCTGTCCTAAGTCAATTCATATATTTAGTTTGTCATTTTTATTTAGATAATAGCAAATGTCGATTTACTGGTGCATTACATACAGTGTGATTTTGTTAAAAATCAGTCTTGCTTGGATTAACTCCCTTCGTGAGAGTACAGCAGCCTCTTATTCTTTTTCAAGGCAATAATTCCAAGCCTCTCGCAAGGAGTGCCATTGTCACTTATTTTTCTTCTAAATTAAATGAATAGTTGTGAAAATGCTGGTTTGATGGTGATTGAAATCAATAAAATCCAGACTTTGCAACCATTGTCTAGGTGTTGTAATCAAACCCATGGTTTAATATATATATAAATATCTATGCTTTTTTTTAATATTTAAGAATGAATCTTTCAAAATTACTAGCATTTATTGTGAAAAACCATGACTTGAACGATTTTTAACTGAATTTTCTTTTGAGTATTGTATGTAAATTGAATAGGTCATATTCACTTTGAGTCAAAATGAATAAAATTGAGAATTGAAATGGGGAATATGTCAAAGAGACAACAACCCGACCAAAGGCAGACAACAGCCGAAGGCCACCAATGGGTCTTCAACGCAGCGAGAAAATCCCGCACCTGGAGGTGGTCCTCAGCTGGCCCCTAAATAAAATTGTGTACTAGTTCAGTGAAAATGGACGTCACACTAAACTCCAAAACATATAAATGAACTTAAACCCATCATGTATTGTTATAATATATATATATACACTATTGACCAAATTTGTCAATTTACAAAAACTGTTTTACAAAAAAATTATTCCAATCTTTTGAACTATTGGGGCATCATCTCAATTATTTACAATATTTTAATTATAGTGGTTTAAATTCTTGACTAGTTTATTTATCACATGATTAAAGTGTTTAAATTATTGACTAGTTTCTACTTGAATGTGAGAATAGAAGTTTATATCTAAAATGCTTGGAAAAAACAATGATAACAAATATAATCTTTCTAACTGGATACATGTTTATTTTGTCAAACATGTAAGCATTGTATTATATTTTAATTATATACCACAGATGGATACACATTAAATGTTTGTGACAACATTTGTATTTATTAAATCAGATAGCAGGGTCAACAATGAAAATATTATTATTGGAGTTTTTAAGTATTCTAATGCAATTTTGATTTTATTCATTTTATAACAAAAAGATGTTGTGTAACACAGTTAAACATTTATAAACTGATCCCTGTACCGGTATACAAAAAAATAAATATCTGGAAGACATTGGACTGTATCTCTCTCTGTTATTTGCAAAAAACACAAGGTGCACACTTTTACTTATTGAAAGAATTAAGGGATATGTAGTCATGCTGGTTGCCTAGTCCTCCCCCAATAAAATTAGATTTTGTTTTGTGCTAGTTTTGACTTTTTCTTTTTCTTTTGCAAGTTAGTTTTGTGCTAGTTTTGACTTTTTTTTCTTTCTTTTGTAAGTTAGTTTTATGCATTATTATCCGTTTCTTTAAGAGTTGTGTCATGAAGTGTGTATTTTAATTGAACTGAAGTAATGTGTACAATTAGAAATAAGCAATTGTTTTCAATTTTTGCAGTTGTAAATGCACTTTTATGTACATGTAATTAGATAAAAAAATATCTTTGTATAGATTATATTTTTGTGTGGTTTTAAACCACAAAAAATGGTAGCCTGGGGTTTTTTTATGCGTTTTTTCATTCTTTTTTTTTGTGTCATTGTATATACAAATTGTAATGTAAATTTGTTACAAAATAGCCCAATCATTCCTGGTAATTCAAAATTAAATGTTTAAAAAAAAAGAAATACAATTTTAATTCATACTGGTTTGATATTTGTACAATAATGACCAGTTAATGCAAATTTGCACACTTTTTCATGTTTTTCACTTGTTTCTTTTAAGAAACACAAAGATTTTTTATTGGTACATAATTGTGTCCTTATTTGTTATTTTTGTGTACTTAAAGTTATTCTTTTAAATTTGATTACAGTGTTCCTTTTCAGAAAACTAAGGCTGGTATGATTAATTATTTTGATCATTCTGTTCATCCTGTTTTTAAATATGAGCTAAATGGGACATTAGTTTATTATCTTCCCTCCATCTGCACTTTATAGATTAAGGATTCCAGTTTTACAATGGAATATTTTTTTATTCTTAGCTTTTCATTGAAGAGAATTATAGTTGGTTGGTTTGTTGCACAAATGTTCATTGTGATTAATTTCCAAATTTATATGTTCAAATAGTTTGGTACCAATGGGATATGACTTTAAAACTTGATTCAGACGTTGAGTACAATTAATTCATCAATCTTAATAAGTTTTTCTTGGACCTTGTCGAATAATAATGGTTTCATGTTGGGTCTTTGTTTAATGGGGTTTAAACGTGTTGAAATTTAGATTAAAACTGAGAGAAAAAAATATGTTGGACAAGTATTCA